TAAGAACGGGCAGCAGATTCACGCCTTTGAAATATAATCTATAAAATAGCACAACTTGATGATGGGTCTATAATAGTTCTGACACGCCACGACATGCTGTGGGGAAACTTCAAAAGACCTCTCGGCTGCGGCAATTACTGGGGTTTCAGAACTGTGTGGTATGGAGGGATAACACAGGTGCATGTGACACCTGAGAGAATAACATGTTCAGTAATTTGACACACCTGTAACCTTCAAGGTATACTGTGCATGGAAAAAATGTCTCAAAGTCATATTGTTATGCCTTTATTTCCAGCCAAGCTATTATAATTTTTTTTCAATTCAAACCTTAAAAAAAAAACCTGCAAAGATGTTTACTTTTCAGCTGTATCGTGCCAAAGTGTTTTTGTTTCAATAACCATCTTAGAGTGTTACCATTTTATTGTTTCTGATTTAGATGACATTTATGGTTTTGTTGACATTCATGATTTTGCTGACATTTGTGATTTTGCTGAATTATTTTAGCTGAAGGTGGTAGTAAAACAAATGATGTCCTCAAGGGAGCCCACGGCTATATCATTCACATGTGACATTAACAATCATCATTAAATCACGATATCGTGGGTAAAATACATTAAACAATTATCACTAAATGACTGTAATCATGACTTATGCAATGTTACAAAGACTGTAGGTCAATGAGAAGAGAATTTATTTCAAAATTCATTTTTGTATGTTATTTAATGTTAAAAGTATAAGAAAAGAGGAAGATTTTAAAAAATAACCTTGAGATTTTTTTTTCTGTTCTCCCAGGCCTGTCGCCATAGTTGGGATATATAAGATGAGAATATTTCTATTTTGCTATTATATCATAAATAGGCCTGTGCATCATAGGAAAACCCTTCACATCGAAACATCAAATTTGATTATGAAAAGAAGAAGAAAAAGAAGGAGAAAAAACAAATAGTCCAACCACTATGATAATTTCAATGATAAAGCACAGCTTGTTGGTTAATAGAAACAGCTATAATTATTTCAATTCAATTACTTTTGCTGAGTCACCATGGCCTTTTATACATAAAACATGACAACCAACTGCAAGATGTCACATTATCAAATTTTCAGCAGATAATATCTCACTATTACTAGACTTCCTTTAGAATAAAATTCATTCCTAAAACCAACATTCTAGATTTTAGTTGTATTCAAAATCCTGACTAATATGAGACATATGATAAATTATTTTTATGGTGAAATTTACATTTTACTCGGACAATACAAAACATAATTATGTTGAGCTATTAATAAATTTTACCATGTTTGAGTGAGCCCACAGTAACTATAACATATATCATTACTCCACATGCATCATTACTCAACATGCAGAATCATAACATTATAACAATACACTGTATCTATATTCTGATCATTATCTATCAGTTCTACTGTCTAGCATAAAATAAAATAGCAATCAGTGATAACAGGTGCCATAGCTTACCATGTAGTTTTAATCAAAGTGCACAGACTTATTCTCATTAGTTTTAACTAAAAAAATGAAATATTATTAAATAAGGTAAAAAGAAGACAGACACAAAAGTCATAACTTACTTGCAATCCGTGAGGCCGATATAACACACTCTGTGGGTTTTAGATGAACTCGAACTCACTCGTCATCAGTTTACCAAATGTACGGACAGCATACGAACATCTGTGCCTCCGCGATGTGTTCCTAGATCCTGCAGCAGCAGTTGTACTAATTATCTTAATGAGTGAATCATTATCATGTGTCCTTGTATATTGTAGTTCATGTAATCCAGTAATGATGTCATAGACAGCAGATGTAATAATTATCTCAATGAATGAATCATTATCATGTCTCTTTGTATGTAGTACTTCATGTAGACTAGTAATGATGTCATGGGCAGCACAGCCTCAGCACAGAAATCCAATGAAAGAAAAGTGTTCGCAGAAGTCCTGTTAAGTTATCACCAACTCGATGAAATTCTTATTTTCATTAAACATTAAACTTTATGCTGAAGTCCTGGTAAGTTCTTGGTCAACAACTGGTGCAATCCAACAATGCAGCTGTGATGAAACAGTCTTAAAGAGAAAAGTGTAACAGAAAATCCTAATTTCTTGAAGTTTTTGTGAACTAATTCCAGTTAAGAGCTGATTCAGAAGTTTTTCACATGTCTCTTGTTCCTTTCAACCAGGTATTTTTTGTGCTCGTCATTTGAAATGAAAAGGCCACAGTGTGACACTTTTTACTTGGAAATATCAGTTTTGTCTTTATGTTTTCATGCAATCTGACAAGTAAAGACCAATATCCTGGTGGTTTGAATTACTCTTCCAAAATCACAGTTGAATTTGTCACTTCAGAAAAAGAACACGTATCTGAACCACAAACATGTATAAACAAGTTGTGCATCCGTACTATGTGAGTTCATCTGCTCTACGCACATTTTCAAAGTCTGTATCTTGTCCCTTGTATAAGTTACCTGAGCTCCTATAAACCCTTCAAAACTGTCAAATTCATTTTCCACACCTGAGTAACTTAATTGCCCATTGCTGGAGCACAACAAAAGCAGGAGAAAATGATCAGTGACTTCATAGCAAGGTGACATACTGGTCTTCTCTCAGCTGTTATAAGTTTTGCTACCATCATATTTTGAAGAGACCAATTACATGACTGTTTTATCTCTGCCCACCCCCCACCCCCACCCCTTTTTAGGCTTCATTCCAATCCCTTTTGTGGATTTCATTTTATTTTTAATTCACAAATCAACATTTCCAAACTCTGCAGGATTTTTCTTTTCCTTTTCATAATTTATTTATTTATTTTGCCCTCTATCAGCCTAGTCTTTATTCTAACACCTCTGTAAATTTGAAATAATAAAATCCAACATTGCCCCGCCCCAACTCCCCCCCCCCCCCCCGTGCCCCTGTTGCAGCTGTCAACAAAGGTCCAGTATTGTCCCACCTGGTGGTCGTAAAGACTGATGAATCACTCTATCCCTCAGGTGTCACCTTCAGCTCTTACATGTCTACCAAGGTGATATATCTACTTTAAAAGGTGAAACAGAGGGTTCAAGAATTTTATTTCTCTCAGGTGATATACTAAGTAAAGAGACCTGGTTCCAAAAAACCCTTCCACAAGGGGGATGATTACACAGAGTTCCAAAAATTCTTACCTCTAAAATATGGTTACAGGGAGTGAGTACAGAGGGTTCCAGAAATAATGGCAATTTTTCAAAATGTAGTAATGGAGGGATCAGAGAGATGTCTACCTCAAAAACATATAGTACTGGAAGGTTCAAGCAGTGGCTGCCTCCAGAGAGTAGCTATAGGGTATTTCAGAAACACCTACCAATAAATGCATAGTTACAGAGGATTCCAGAAATATCTACTTCTTCAATCAAACAAGGAAAATAAAATTAATTTCAAATACTCTCCCACCCTTCCCTACTGATCTTCTAGATCCACTTCTCAATAATAATAAAAATAATAATAATAATAAATACAATAATAATAATAGTAATATTGACATTGGAAATATTGACAAAGCTGCTTTTTTTCATGATTTATCATTTGAGTCACCCACAAAAACATACTCTCTCAGGCATTATTGCTGCTCATCTTTTAAAACTCTCTATACATCTGCTGCAGAAAATACTCTCTCATCATTGATTGCTTTTATGAAGTAATATTTATATTAACTAAATTTGTTTAATAAGCACACTGAATAATTTCAACATGCACTGGTTCACTCCCAATGAAATCATGACTGTCATAACACAATAAACAGTTGATGTATCTTTGTAATTAATAGGGAGTTCACAAAAAGAGTACCCGCAATTACTAAACAGGGGACCTTCAATCCATTATGATATGAAGTTTAAATAGGAAACAAAAACTGCAAGAAATGTTCTGTTATGTGTGATGCCCTGTGAAGTCATTAGTGTCACAATGCTGTGGAAAAGAGATGTGTCTTAGTCATAGATAAAGAATTGCTCCATTTACTGTAATTTATTTCTGGTCTTTAAAATGTCTATGGGGAGATGATACGTTTCACTAATAGGCATTTTCACATTGCATATAGGGACTTAAACATTGAGTATAGGCATTTGAAAAATTTTTAAATGTATAGCTGTCTTTGAAATTATTAGCCATCTTTTGAAACCAGATGCAGCAAATGACTGCTGGTTTGCTTTCTCTGCCTTGCCTTATAACAATGTTGCAACCCCCTCTCGAGAACTTTGATTGGTCACTGACGGTTCACTTGTTGATTCATCTAAGCAAGGCAGTAATGAAGTTGACATATAAAGCTGAAACTATTTTGCAACACCAGTCAATTATTATTGCAATAAGACTGATTTACAATCTTCACAAAAAAAAGCACAAAAAAGTACCTGTAAAATACATAAAATGTACAGTTGAGTCAATATAAAATATTACGCCAATGCTCGTCAAATAAAAACTATAATGACTGTCACTGCAATTATCTTTTTCATAATTTGATAATATTTTAAGAGTACTTTGAACATAGCAAATTCATTCCTGTCTCAAAGAAATGTTCCACATTTAGCAAACTTTTTGAATTTGCACAATTCCAGAATTCAAAGCCAGGCATTTTTCTGAAAACAAATTAACATGATGATATATGACTTACAGATAACACAGGAAAACATCATGTTGCACCGTTCTTTCTTGTACTTATCATAAGCAATCAATGTAAATACTTTTTAAAAAGTTATAACAAGTTCAATGTATATTTTTACAACATGTAAAATGCTCTCACATTAAAATAATAATATAAATATGACAGCTCATAAATGTTCCTTGAAAGATAAAATAACACACTCTCAGGAAGACAGCTAATAGATCTAACAAAACAAGAACAATAATGCAATTTGACAGCCAATAAATGTGACATGACAAGACCAAAATAATTAATAGCACCACCACTGCAATAACAACTTGTCTGCATAAAAAAAAAAGTTGTTGATATTTTCTGGAAGAGATTTTTCAACTTTCAGCTACAATGACAAAGCATCAGATATCAAAAAGCAAGTCTCACATATTTCAAAAATCTTCTTTCTGAATCAGCTGAAAAATGAAATCATTTTCACAATGGCACAAACCAAATTCCTGACACTATAATAAGCAAAAGATTAGGACACAGAACTCAAAATCATTCAAATAGCGTCTTTTTCCTCCATGGCCAACCAGGCATCTCTTGCTATAAGCACCAATTTCTTATCACCAAAAGCGAGATTGGGAACAACCTCCTTCATATCATCCATGGTCAGGTGCTCCAGCACCTTGCCACGAATTTTGGCCGTCATAAAAGTCATAACTGTCTCAGCATCCAGGCCGAGACTGTCCAGCCACGTACGGACATCAATTATTGACCAATCAGCCATCTTCTTAGTTAGCTGCTGAGCTGTATCAAAGTCTGTGTCTTTCTCGTCTTCCCAGGGTTTGAGTGCTAGATCTTCCTCCGTGTTTGCACTGGCTGAGTCTTTACCAACTTCAGCCTGCTGGGAATCCCCACTTTGCTTATTTTCATTTCCAGATTTTGGGTCATTTTTAAGCTGACCCATGTCAACTTCAGAACTGGTCAAGTTTATTTCAGCTACATTCGACTGAAGATTGGAAACCCCCTGATTTTCCTCTGCTGTAGTGGGGTTTCCCTCTCCCCCTTCTTTCAGCTCTGTTTGAATTTCCGCTTCTTCTTTATTTCCAGATTCATTGTCCTTTCCTTTTTCAGTTGAACTAACAGGTGCATCACCAGCGCCATCTGAAGGTGACTTTTTGGTCACCTCTCCTGTGTAAATATTATTCTCGATGGGTCGCCTCTGGTACCTCTTCCCTGTTATGTTTCTCCTATCCTGTTGAGCATTAACTTTACGATTGGCAACAATCATGTCAATCACAAATTTCCCATAATCCTCCTGCTGTTCCTGCAAAGATTTCTGGGAAGGTGAGGATTTCACTGAGCTTTGGTTTGGTGTTGTCTTGGTTGGTGAACTACTGCTACTGGGATCTACAGCAGAGGCCAAACTGCCGTCTGCATTTTCAGTCAATGGAGAACTTTCTGATTTAGAGGAGTTATCATCACTTGGGTTAACATTTGGATCAACTTTTTTTCCACTGGCAGATTCAAATATAAATTCAAAATTTTTGTCATCAATAACGGGGGTTGTAACATCTTCAGGTAAGACATACTCACTGCCAAACAATGCTCTGATATCATTGGACCTGGCTCTCTCCACTGCTGTCTCTCCTCTCTGAAAATATAAAATATGACGCACCAATTAGTATAATAGCTGATCTTTAATCACCTTTAGGGTTCCATTCTAGGCTTAATTCTGTAACTTAAAATATGCTGTATCAATATGTGCAGATTTACTTGTTGGTCTTCTTAGTATAAATATGAAAAAATTGGCTGTATACTGATTATAAATGAAATCATAAAATAAATTTAAGATTTCTTCTAATGTCAAACATTATACATTTGTCAATGATTCATCCTATTTCAAATTAATATTATATATATCTAAGAAAACCATTGTTAAACATAATCATTGTCCTATTCTAAATGAATACATAATATCAAATCAATCTAACAAAACCTCTGTTTAACATAATCACAAGGTCAGCCTGTAGTGATCAATACTCACCACACCCTTCACAGTGGGGTCCAGTCCCGCATCCAGCAGCACTCTGACCACTGCCCCGTGGCCCCTGTCTACTGCCCAGTGGAGGGCTGTCCACAGGTTCTGCAGGGTGAGAAAAAAAAATGTCATTAAATGTGTGTGTATGTGTGTGTGTGTGTGTGTGCAATTTCTATTCTAAGTTGCAAATTAGTGAGATCAAACTGTACAGGAGTACATAAGAATGGGTGCGTTTACATGGCATGAGTGTCAGCAATCATATATCTCTGTACATGTAAAAACATGAGACATTAGCCACTTACAGTTCCCTGACAAGACATGAGACATTAGCCACTTACTGTTCCCTGAGTGGTGGTGTCACACTTGGCATCAATCAAGGCCTGGGCTACACCAGGGTGACCGTGGTAGGAGGCGAACATCAGGGGAGTAAAGTCTGCCTAGGGGGGGGGGGGAAGAGAACCATGGTTGAGAACATGAACTATTCAGTCCACTGGTCACTTGGAAGTAGCATACCTCAGATAATTATTAATTTCAAAATTACTAAAAAAAAAAAATGGGATGCGTTCACAATGAACTATCTCACTGGGTAGTTCAAACTAACTCTGCTGGGACTCTCGCTGAATGCAATCAGATTAACCTCCTCCAGGCAATGAGAAGAACAAAGAAAAGATGGTGATTATTACTAGTACATTGAAAAGAAAAGGAGGTGTGCCATTTAGTTAATCTGATTGCAATCAGTGAGTTCCAACACAGTTGGATCTATCTACCTAGTATGGTAGTAAGTACGGTATAGCATGGTAGTAACTATGGACACACCCTAGGACAGCTGCTAAAATCGCATTAAGTCTAATTGGATAAGTATATTTAAAAATATTTGTTACTAGTCTGACACCAAATCTAAGAGTCAGTTTCCTAGAACCTTTCCTAGAAGCTGACAATGAGGACTGTACAGGTACTACAGCTACATGCACACTACCTCTCCCTCATCACTGCTCTTCAGGTCCACATCACAGCCAGCTTCAATTAACATGGCGGCTATCTGCCCCAGCTTATCCTCATCTTGTGTGCGACTTCTGCAGGTTTCATGTAGAGCTGTACGTAGATCCTGGGGTGTTTCATAAAAATATTGTATTTATAAAGAGTGATTTAAAAATATTTTTCTCTTTTTTGGAAAATTCATATTATTATTATAATTTTTATTTATTTATTTATTTTTTTTTTGGGGGGGGGGTCATTCCAAATTAAGGCACTGCCTTTATTTGACTTTGCATTATTTTCTTGATTTTCCATTTTTTCCAAGGCTAGTTACCATTTCAGATTAAATGTTTCCCAAGCTTTGTCTCACCTTATTCATGAGGTTGACGTCACAGTTGGAGTCGATAAGAAGCTTGACACACTCTGGTTGACACCAGTAACATGCAGTGATCAGGGGGCTCCAGCCATTCTGTAAAAACAAACAACCTTGTTAATATTTATTATTTGAAGGAGGACACCCCCATCCCAACTGTAAGTTAGAGGCAGTGATTAGGCAGCTCCAGCCATTCTGAAAATACACAGCACCATGTTAACACTTTTTGAAGATTATACCCCCCCCCCCACACACACACACACACACACACACACAAACACACAAGGTAGTGGCAGTGGTTGAGTGGTTTCAGCCATTCTGAAAATATACAATGACAACATACAATTCCTTATTATCTCATCCTGTGTGTAATATAACAGTTACCTTATCCTGTGTATTAATCTCAGACCCAGCCTTGATCAGCATCTCCATGATGTCAGCATGCCCCTTCATAGCTGCATGGTGCAACGCCAGATTACCACGCTGAAATAAATCACACTACAAATATCAACATAGGGAATTTTTTTTTAAAAATTATATGAAACCCATATCTTATTGCTGAATTTGTGGAAATTCCAACTTGTGGAAATTCAGCAGTGGCATTTTTGTTACTCTTTTATTTAAAATTAGTTTTATAGATTTCATTTAAGGACTATTAATTTTATGAGGCTTACTAGTCCAAGTGGACTGTAGAAGTGAACAGTTTTTCAAAGCATTCATCACCCATATGATCAACATATTCCAAAATACAGTTCTTTACTTTCCTTAATACTTAAATTATAACTACAACAGCAGAAAACTCAGTGGGAAAGTTTAAATCATTCTCCATTGATTTCACCTTTTTCTTGTATGTCCACAAGTCCAAGTTGGCAGCAGGGTGAAAAGTTTAGGGCCCACACTATACTAGTAATAGAAATCCATTCATTGATACTTACATCATCAACAACATTAACATTACAGCCAGCATCAATCAACATCTGTACAATCTCTGCTTTGCCTTGGGAGGCCACATGTATGGGACAGGAGTTATGCTGGAGAAGACAAGGACAGATAGATAGTTAGATACATATATACAGAATTGGAGAGAGAGAGAGGGAGAGAGGGAGGGAAAGAGAGAGAGAGAGAGAGGGGCACATGTATTGGGCAGGAGTTATGCTGGATATATACTAAGTAAAATTGGCTAATATAAGGCTTCGTTCGTTTGCGGCGTAATTACTGGCAGTGCGAGCCAGTTACTATAAGTTACTATAAGTAACTGGCTCGCGCTGCCAGTAATTATGCTGCAGGATATTCAGGGCACAGACTGTGATCATAAGATACTGCGAATAGAAAATAGATTTTTAGAAAATAGACTTTCCATGTGAACGAAGCCTAACTCAGAATGAACATCAGGGCATAACATGTGTATGAGAATAGATTCAAAACCTGGAGTTGTGAATGAAACCCAAAGCAAATGGTTCTTGATATCAAATTGGGACCAATTTTCCATAGACATCATCAGTCTATGTGGACAAACCCATCTCTGCGTAACAGAGTTATGCTGGAGGAGACAAGGATATACTGATGGAAAATACAACACTCCTGAATGAATAATATCTGGGAATTATGAGAACATGTTCATGGGCATAAAACTGGGGTTGTGCACTGAAACCAAACACATCCTTGATCATATCAAAGTGATAATTTCATATCTATTGATATACTACAGGGAATTCCATTGAGTAATTTAGATTCAATTACATTATTTATTTACTATTTCACTTTGATATGGATTCATTTTACTAATATCAGTCTTGGCAGTTGAAATATACTACAGTGGCTCCACCTACAGTATAAGACACCCAGTTGACATCAATGCCTTGCTGTATGAACTCCGCAACTTTCTGAATACGACCAAAACCACAGGCCTCCCAGAATGCCTCTTGCCTACTTGCTGCCTGGCCCATTTTGTCGCTTGTATACCAACCTCCTAAAGCTGAAATGAGTAAATATATATAAGAAAGGAACACTTCAAATATTATGTCAATAAGCGAATGTTGTTTTTATTTATTTTCTTTTTCTTTTCTTTTTGATGCAAGGGGTCACTCCCAGTGAACAATTAACTTTTTATGTCAGAAATTAGTAATTGACCTTCCTTCTAATATAAGTTTCACAGTTGTTCCTTATATAAAACATTAATCCAAGTTCTTGTCTAACTGACAGGGCAGTGGACAAGGGATAATGACTAATTTTTTTCACTGATCAATACAAACACATAACAAAATGGACCTGATCATCATACAATCGTAAATATAGATTACTGGAAGGGAATCTATTGAGTGCAGATTTGGGTGAGTGCCCAAACCAAAGGAAATGTTTCTCAATACTTAGAACTAAAACAATCTGACTTCAGGCCCTCAAGTTTGGACCGCTCAAGTTTCAGTGACTGGACTTGAAGTAAACACACATTATTTTCGTCTTTTCTTTTATCATCCTTCAGGTTAACCTTGCCTCACCTATACCCCTTGTTCGATTACAATCCTCAGTTTTGATACTACAATGTACTGCACTCCTTGTGAAGTTCCATGGAAGTAATTTGAGAGAAACCTCTGACTGCAGTTTCTTGCCAGAGTTCCGTCTGGTTCAGGACGTGATACGGAGCAAATAAATGTTATCTTATTTACAAAGTTAAATAATATACAAAATCCTTGTAATAACATCATCATGCGATATGAAAATTTTCACTAAGATGTAATTTGAAAAAAAAATCTCCTTAAAATCTTTATTTAACAAATATTCCCAGCTGAATTTCGTCTGCGGTCTATTACATCCGGGCAATTATACGACTTTCAACAATGGCCGAGGACTTACAAGAAAGTTTGACGAATTATAAATTGCAATTACAACAGGTGAGAAGTAAAGAATCAAACAGATAATTAGTGTCATAAAACGCTTAGTGTTTCAAGTATATTTAAGGCGTGCCTGTGTTTTACATAAGCGACGAAAACTAAAGAATCTACCATAACATTAGTCGGTGTCAAGACAAATTCGCCGACTCGACACAAGACTCAGCAACTAGTGCGACTGGAATCAGCTGCACCTGGGTAGTATTTTTAAGATTAGCGATACGTAAAATGCCCAGAAAATAATTCTGTATTGGTTGTTTTCATTTACTTTTTGATGTGCACTTCGTAACGTCTACATAACAAAGAACGACCGCAAGCGCGTGCGCACACTCACACACCTCCACGAACGCGCGCTCTACTGCACACACACACACACACACACACACACACACACACACACACACACACACACATTGTTATCCATATTACCGTAGGGATGATATTTATTGAATTACAAACATTTTATCTGTATCTTCAGGTGGAAGCTGCTCTCACAACAGATCCCAGTAATGCTGACCTAAATAAACTCAAGATAGATTTACAGGTAAGTGAATAGATGTTGACAAAGATGTATAACAACAACCTGTCTATATTAGGCGTGAAGATGTAATCTGTACACAATAGAAAATATTAAAAGCAATAACTATACTTTTCATAACTGGTTGTAACTTTGAAATTTCCAATTTATAGTTACTAGTGTGACATAGAATCAGGCAGTCTTTTATAAATTTGTAACTTGATATTTTATCCAAATAATTGTCAGAATTTTTTGTACCCCTATCAGAGACTCTTTTTACTAAATTAAAACATAAAACTTGACTTCCAAACTTTCCAGGAAGTGATAAATTTAACAGTAGACCTGATAAAGAACCAGGCAGGTGCTGTAGCTACTGCTGTCGTAGCTGCTGCTACATCTGCTGATGACAATGAAACCTCTACAGCAACACACAGCTGGAATGTTGGAGACAAGTGCTCTGCTATATACTCAGAGGATGGCATGTAAGTGCAGACATGCTGAAAACTTTTCAGAATGGCCGGACATTTGGACCTGTAGGTCCGGTAGTAATGAAAAATTTGCCAGACTGAATGGATTTTTGTCGGACCGAAAATCACCCTGTTCATTTGAGACAGATACTACCAGTACGATTAGGTAGCTTACTTTGTTTGTGAATGTGATAGGTTTTAAATGGAAGAGAAAAAACGGTTTTGGTTTTATATAATTTTATTAGTGCAGTATGTCGAATGATGACTGTAAATTCAAAATTGCGGTTCTTAAAACTCTTGTCAGTCCTTTGGGCTGACCAAGTCCAATTTTTTACCGGTCTAGACAAATTTTCTCGGTCATGACCGATCAGACCGACAGTTTCAGCATGTCTCTAGTGTATAGTGACAGAACTGAAAGTGGTCAGTATTGGTTTATACAGATGCTTTGCCATATATGGATTGTAAGTGTAAATGGGAAGAACTGTATAAATGTTTTATAACAGTATGGTTGTAGCAAATGCTCTAGATACCTCATATTTGGAGGCTGGATTGAAAACGTAAAATATGACGGTTCCGAATGTTTCATGACTGTGTTCTGTTATATTTTTGATACTGCTCTCCTCACTAGTATTGGATGATTTTACCATATGTGTTAGTTGATAATAAAAATCGGAATCAGAAATTATAATTATTTGAATCATGAGTTTAAAACTTTAATATTACATGAATATATGCACTCATTTATGATGAATTAGAATAAATAAATAAATAAATAGTAGCTCATGATATTGATGAAATTGATCAATGCTCCGTGTTCTGTTTTGTTTTTAGGTATTATGATGCAGTTATAGATGAGGTGTTGGAAGATGGTTCTTGTACTGTGACATTTGAAAGCTATGGTAACACAGATCTAACTCAGGTAGCGCTCTCAGGCATTGGTGGATGGGGAAATTTTATAAAATTGTTGCTAGTAATGTGTGAAAACAGAAAAAAGCACTCTTAACTTAAAAGTTCTTTCACAAAAACTATGATTAGTTTTGATATTTAAATTCTATATTGTGTGTAGCATTTAGCTATAAATTGATCTGTTGATAAAGATCATCCATTTGATGGTAATACAAATAGCAGAGATCAGCTTTGGTTGTTATCAGTTCAACTGCCTGATCTTTTATCAGTTCTGATGTTTGTTCTCTAGGTATCGTTACTCAAACCGCGGGATTCAAGCCTGAAGCGTGCGGCCGGCGAAGAGGCCGAGGGTAGCGGAGGGAAGATGAAAAGGTGAGGTTGTGCCATCTAGTAGTGGTTTCCCAACAACCCCTTCTGAAACCATAAAATTTTCCGTAGAAATAGATTGAATTAAAGTCTTTCACTCATATTAAAAAAAAAAAAAACATCTCTCTCATTTCTTAATGTGTATTTTATGTGTTTAGCGTTAAAGCCTAGACTGAGAAGGAAATTCTACCAAATCATGGTAATTATAGGATGGCTCTTGGTTGTTAAACTCGTTCCTTGGTCTTATCCTTGATGTTTCTTCAGCATCATTTCTTGTCATATTTTGCATACAATGAAAATATGAAATAAGTTGCTTACTAGTAATACACCAGCACTGATGACCCCTCAGTCACTAAAAGTGATGAACCAAAAATGAAAATTTTAGTTTAGAATTACACTAAAAATTATCTAAATTGTGACACCTGATTCCTGATTGGACCCCTGATTTTTTAACTGCTTAGCTGACCTGTATCCAGAGGTCAGTTGTTATCCTGTTTACTGACCATTTCAAACAGGTGAGGTATTTTATATTGTTTTTCATTAAAAATTATTATAACTTGCTTAATGTATGTCACATAAACTTGTTTTCACTCTCCTTAGTTGAGGGTTTGAAAGATTTCGTGAATTTCACTTCTTTGTTAATTTAGAAATCGGAAAAATGAGTTTAAAAAAGCATTTAAGCAGTATCTCCAATGAAAATCATAGAACAACACAAATGTCAAAATTCTCTTAAACAAAAGTACATGCACAGACAAAGTTTTTCATAACTCACAACACAGAGTTCACAAAACAAGAAAACAACACGCTGCTAGTTGCGTAGTTCATGGTAAAGGGCACATAGGTCTGGTTTTACAGCTGCCAACATCGTGAGCGTGTGAAACTGACACCAGGTGGCTCTCTCAGCTGGGTGCTAGGAGAGGTAAGGACAAGACGAGCCCATGGTGGTGAGGTATTGATAACGGACCAAAATTGGTGGGACTTTTTTCCCCCTTAAGATTATTTTCTGGAGGGAATTTCTGTGCATTTAGTTTTGCTAATATTTATAACATTACATGTTTGTAAATTGGCAATAAGTTTTTTTCATTATTTTCACACTTATGTATATAAATTAAATATCCTGATATCAGCTTACATATTTTATAATTGCAAAAGAGTTGTATTTGTAGAGTTTCAACTTCCAGTAACTTTTACTTGAAGGATTGAAGTGAAAAGATATCATAATAGATGTGATCATGTGACAAGGGGGTAGTGGAATAAAACATAACGATAATATCTATCACGGATTATAACACGACTAGGTACAGATAAATAAGTATACACCAAGAACTACATTAATGACAGAACATACCCATACTTACAAGATACTTATGACTGTTTTATTTACATGTTTGTCCAACTGAAACATAAGAGGGATTTTTTTTTTTTTAACTTGGAAAAAATTCGATTAACAAGCCGTCTCTCCTGGTCAATGCAGTTAACTTCACAATTATAGTTTTACATTTCTAATGATTTTCATATTCTGTACTCTAAATGTGATACTTGTACTTTCAGGAAAGATAAGCTAGCAGCTGAGAGGGAATACAAGAAGAAAAAGAATGAAAAGAAAAGACAGAGACAGAAGCAGCAGGAAGAGGAAAGGGAAGACGAGAAAAAGAAATGGCAGTCCTTTAATGCCAAGGTTGGTATTGTCATTGAATTGTTGGAGTATTGACAGAAAGACTGTTATAGTATTGTTATTGTATCTCCTTCTTATGTAATTTCTTCAAAGAAAGGGAGACTTTTTTTTAAGGAAGGGAAAAGGGATTATAAACTTTATTCACTGTTTTCTTAACATATTTTCATTAAAGGAGAATGTAAAACATTTTTTCATCGAAGGGGGGGAGGATTCCAAACCTGATATAAACTCACATGAACAATTAAAATATAAATTAAATGTCTGAGAGAAATGACTTTGCTTAAAAATGATAAAACATAAATATGTTTAAAAATAGTGCTAGTTAATGACTTTTGACTCAAAAATTAGTACCGACTTTGTTTTTAGCTTTACTGACTAGAGCTAAATTAGTGCTGGATTAAACAAAAAATATTCGGACTGTTCCTTCAATATCTTAATTTTTTTATTTTTATTTTCTAGAATAAGAGGGTAGGTTTTAACAAGAAGAGCATTTTTGCCACTCCGGAAGCTCCAACTGGGAAAGTGGGCGTTGGAACTTGTGGCATCGGCGGCAGACCTATGACAAACTATCACCAGAACGAGAAGTGGAAGAAGGGTCTCTGAGACAAACAATCGTCAAACTGAGTTCTTAAAAAGGAAAAGATCTTTTGTTGTCCTTATTATTGCTGTAGACATCATATCTGCAGTGTAAGGTGGGAAAAAAAAAACTTAAGACACTTGCACTTGTCAAAAAGAGTTCTGAACCCATGACACAAAAAAAATATTAATGTTTATACAATCTGCCAACAACTGGAGATGGACAGCTGTAGAAAGAACCCTAGACTTGTACGTGTGGACTTGCATGTTATAAAAGAGATGATGTGGATTCAATTTCTCCAACTCTGACTGGGTTGTCAATGGTGAATGTTGGGTGAGAGAGCTTTAAGATGTGAACACGTTGAACTAAGTTTATAAAGAAGGAAAATGTATCCCGATTTCTCACATCACTCGTTGCAGAAACCTGACTGCATAATTAGCATTGAGAAGTGGTATTGAGTATAAATTCTATTTTTTTTTTTTTTTTTTTAGAAGTAAGAACTGGTTCTTTAAATAACATTTCATGATTGGAATACACAATTGTCGAAAAAAAAGTTTCAACACATGTCAACAGTGTTAAAAGCCGGATGTAATGAATCATTTTGAAATAGTTTTTATTTATTTTTGTACTAATTCTACAGGCCTTTACTTTTTTATTGCAAAATTCTCATTTGACAAACATATGTATGAAGTGAATACATTACAAAATCACAAAAGAAGCTGATGCTGATTTGTTTTAGTTTAAGGCTTCGTTCACATGCAATGTCTATTTTCTATTTTCTATTTTCGGTATGTCTTATGATCACGGTCTGTGCACTGAATATCCCGCCGCGTAATTACTGGCAGCGCGAGCCAGTTACTTATAGTAACTTATAGTAACTGGCTCGCGCTGCCAGTAATTACGCCGCGGGATATTCAGTGCACAGACCGTGATCATAAGACATACCGAAAATAGAAAATAGACATTGCATGTGAACGAAGCCTAAGTGTCAAACGTATATTCTAGATATATCTAGATAAATCAGTCTGCTTGTAGTTGGAATAGTTGTGTGCCCCGACAAGAACGTAAAACATAACGCTAGGTGACTTGTGGTGCCAAGACGAACTATGGGGCAATCCCCTATCTATAAGTGCAAACTTGAGGTGCGGTGTAGTGCAAGGCCGCATATAATCCAACCCTGTTGACGCGATAAGATGTACGAACCTTACAACAGGGGAGGTGCACTTTTACATGTTAGTGAAGGTACATGGTGAAGGTCATTTCTATCAAGGTCATTGATACAGTGGAACTCTGAACTTGTGTTGCACCGAGTTGACATTGTTGATACAGTTGATAAAAACTGAATAAGAATTTTAACCTGCTAGAACTTTATGAGTAACCCCTAAACAGATCTTAATACAGTTGCCAAGCGTTTTTAAAACTAGCCACACATCGTTTCTGTGAAACAAAGCTGTGGATATTGTTTTGTGACCAGAAAAAAAATCACATGAAATAATGCCGATGATAACTAACAATTCCTTCCACGTGAGACATTTTTTATGTTGGAATATTTATATTTTTTAATACATTAAAAAAATTGAATACGACCAGATGTTCTGTTATTGTTTGCGACCGTACGCCGCGAAGTAAGATTTTTTTTTTTTTTTTTTTGGGGGGGGGTGTCACAATGGGTCTTTCAAAGTTATGCGAATTTCATAATTAAGCCATTATACGACTAAATTCGCTGTCTTCAAAATTCAATTTTTTTTTCAATGGGGTATAGATATGAGGAATGGTGGCCAGAGAAATAATTAAATCGATTTAGATGTTGATTTCACAACGGCGCAACCAGTACGAGGTCGAGGGGAGGGGTGTAATACGTACCAATATAAAGCAATATATAACTTGAGAAACGAGGGGAAAAACAATTTCCAGTCCATATGCCCCGTCTGCCTAACGAAGCGTGGTGAATGGAGGTATTTAATCTCGCGCTGCCCACAACCCTAATAGACAAAACTTGGTTCAACCAGTTTTCTTTAGTTTCAAACGGACAGCTTTTATTTTACCTTGAATACATAAACACTGAAACCCTGCTTTGACCTCTAAG